CTGGACTACTGCTCCTCTTGTCCACTGGACTACTGCTCCTCTTGTCCACTGGACTACTGCTCCTCTTGTCCACTGGACTACTGCTCCTCCTGTCCACTGGACTACTATTCCTCTTGTCCACTGGACTACTGCTCCTCCTGTCCTCTGTACTACTGCTCCTCCTGTCCATGGAAATCCCGGTCCTCCTGTCCACAATAGTCCTGGAACTCCTTTCCATGGGAGTCCTGCTCCTCCTGTCCATGGGTGTTCTGGTCCACTCCGTTCTGGTCCACTCCTCATGATCAAACTACTGCAACTGTTTCAGGTTTGAAGGGTTCCTCCAGATGTTTTACAGATGTTCAACAGGCTTCATATCAAGGCTCAGGAGGCCTCTTCAGAGCAGTCCAATGTTTGGTTCTGATCCATTACTGGTGTTTTTAGGTGTGTGTGTTTTGGAATAAAAATTTGGATCAAGAATTGTTCAGTCATAAATTCAAAGCAGTGACTGATTATTGACTGACTGATTTTACTTCATTCACTGTGGCTGGTTTTTCACATTTGTGTTTTCAGAGGTTGGCACAGTGCTTTGCTTTTAAACTCATCTTTTATTCCTGTCGCAGGCAGACAGATTGTTTCTGTTCACTTGTTACATGGAAGCAGTGTTCTGTGGTTTGTAACTCATTTTATCATCAGACAAACATGCACACACATACAGGCACAGGTAAAAACATTATTCCCTTTCGCTTCTTGTGGTGGGCGACAGGAAATGTCCCTCCTGTCTTCAGACTTTATATTCAGGCTTATCTGTCCTTGAACAAACTTTCAAGATCTGAGCACGTCTGTGTTCTTTACAATGTTGATTGTGAAAATGTGACTTGGGCATGTTTTGGTAAGTTCTCCTGGTATTTGATCCTGTTGTACATTGTGTCATTGTTTCCACGTCGGAGCAGCATCACTAAGGAGCGGACCGAGGTCATCTTCCAGGGAACTCTGAGCCCAGATCCTAAAGCCCCCGAGGCGCTGTGGGAGGAGTACCAGTTCAAGTGTAAACCAGGAGATGTTTCCACACGGCCCTGCTTGATCTCACCGTACCACTACAGGCTGGACTGGCTCATGTGGTTCGCTGCCTTCCAGGTCAGATGTTGTTTTTAACCACTGGAGCTTCTTAGCGTCTCTGATGGGCATCAGAAAAGGACAGTGGACTCGTGAATTCTGACCAGCTAATCCCAGAACAAGCTCATACAGCTCTTTGTTGTACCACCTTGAGTTCTTCAGAATCAGCACCTTTTAGTTTTCCATCTCTCGTTTCCTTCAGTTTGTTGATAACTTGTGAAGCTTTGTGTTCATTCAGACCTATGAGCAGAGTGAGTGGGTTATCCACATCGCAGGACGTCTTTTGGCCAACGACACCACCGTCCTTTCATTGCTCAACCACAACCCCTTCCATGGCAGAGACCCCCCAAGGTAAGAAGGAAAGTCTCTGTCAATGGGAACATCAGCAGTTTTTAATCTGTAATATGTCATCAATACAGTTTCCTGTCAAGTCTTCTTCAGCAGTCTTGAACAGAATACTTTTTATGGCTGTGTATCTCGGAACTTTTCATATTGTGCCCCCTTCGGAAGAAAAAACATTTTCAGGTCCCTCAACAAGATTAAAACAAAATAAATCAAGTTTCACTCTATCTGCACACTGTGTATAAAACATCTCTAGGATTCACAGGGGCACACCATCAGTGGTGTGTCCTGGGGTCAACGGGTGTTGCAGGTCACTCGGTATCACACACTCACCTAGGTGACCCAGCCGGAGGTGATCAGGCCCTGACTTGCATCCCAGTAACAACCCACGGATCAGCCCTGATCCACCACGTCGTGGCTTCCTCAGTGGTTGCTAGCAGCCTGGATGGCCCTCCTCTTAGCCACTCCTGTGACAGTCAAACAGCCGAGGACTTTACAGAGTGTCCTGCAAAGCCTCTGTGTTCTACTTCTTCTGACTCATAGAATGTCCTCCTGCCCCTGCACTCCTCCACAGTGTCCTGGTACTTTGCACATTTTCTCTTGTCTTTCTTAATCCATCCTTCCCCAGAACACTGAGTTGCAGCACAACTTATAACCATTTTCTTTCTCTTAAGTGCAAACCTTGAGTAATTCACTTCTGAATAGAAGCAGGCTTTAGATGAATTTCACTGTGTAAAAAATGACTTTCAGGAGCTCCAAGCTCTTCTAAAGGATACACAGATGTTGGCTTTAAGAAGAAAAATCTGTGGTTATTTCTGATAAACTATTACGTAGATTGCTGTGTTTCAAGCCAACCTCCCGTTGGAATCTCAGAAGGAGGTTGGCTTGAAACACAGCAATGAAGACTACCTATGGGACAGATCTGATTGGCAGACTGGCGAAGTCCTCCAGATGGAAGATGAAACGTTTCTCCCTCAAAGAAACTGGTCCAGATGACATGATTTAACCTTCTTTGTTGTGATCTACCTGGATATTGAGCTTACAACCTTTTTTTAAATAACTTGGATTATTTATTTGTTTTGCCTCCTCTCAGGTGGGTCCGAGGAGAACATTTCAGGTACAAATTCAGCCAGCCGGGCAGTGCCAGCGCAGCACAGGGCAAGTGGTGGCTGAGAAAACGCATCGGAGCTTACTTTCCTCCCGTGGACCTGAATGGACTCAGGGGCTACTTTCAATCCAGGAACTGGCCCCACCCACATATCAAGTCATGAAGTCCAATGTGACTCTGTTACAGTGAGCTGAGGTCTTCATGATGAACTGACAGTATTCATCCATCCATCGGTCGGTCCATCAATCCTGGCTGTCATCATGTACTACAAGTCTTTGCTGTTAAATCTCCTGAATACGTTTCCAGAAGTAAACCTGTTGAAATAAAGATGATCTAACCAACAATGTTTTCTACAGAAATCCTGTGGATTTTTCCTAATAGTTAATTTTCTTCATAAATCTCAAGGCATGGTGGCACAATTGGTAGAGCGGTTACCTCTCAGCGAGAAAGTCGCTGGACCAAATGATTCAAGTGTCTGGAGAGGTTGTTGAGTTTCTCCAGAATAGAGGTCTGAACATTCCTTGCTGCACTGACCTGCTCAGCTTGAGGGTTCTGTCCTTATGATGGGCCAGCCTCTGTCCGAGAGTCCTGTTAGGTTTAAAATACATTATTGTATTATTATTGGGTATTGTGTTTGGAGAAATTCCTTCAAGAAAATACTCCAGCCACATGAGGAATGGCGATGATTTTTGCATTTAGCAGTTTTTACTAGATTTGACAAAAACCCAGCTGTGAGTTGGATTCCTGTAAACTTCAATGTTGAGGCATCCGTCTCTTTCCATGTCCACCAAACTGTCCAAAATTGACAGCTCGTTGTCCATATGAAATTCACCAGAGAGGATGTTGATGTTCACAGAGTTGACCCATCTGACCCATGTTCAGGTCTCTTGTAAATGAGTCCCCGAGGCTCTATGGGATTAACCTGTATAAATAAAGGTTGAATGAATGAAATATCTGGTGAACACTTCTTACTGGGCTTGGGTTTGAACTCCAGTACCGTCCACATTTCTGAACCAGTGACTCAAAGGAGTTCAGGGCTCTCTGTTCCACTTCCTCCATGCAAAGATCATCCACAATCTTTGACCCTGGAGATTCCGTGACACAACCAGGCTTAGTTCAATAAACTGTCATTGACTTTAAATAAGTGGTGGAAAGACATACTGTAGGTCCAGCAGGTCACAGATCTGGTCCAAGGTAAAACTGCTCCTGTTGTTAAGCTCAGTGTCTTGTTGAAGATGTTTCCTGGTGGTTCTCTGTGCTTCTGATGTGGGTTCACAGTTTCAAGTGAAGTGACATCAAAAGATACAAGTTTCTCCTGGAACCAGCTTGAAATGTTGAACTTTTGTTTTAAAATCTATGGAGTTCTCTGTTTTCCAACAAGAGGAGCTAAAGTAGCAGCGAGATGTTTTGTAATATAATTCACAGAGGTTATGCTGTTCTGTGTAGTGTTCCTTCAATACCACGTCGCCGACCTAAAGAGCCCAATCCCACTACTACTTCCTTTGCAAATTGAAGAGAGCAGGAGTCCCAGTCTCCATCACGCACTAATTCTGCCGGGGCATCGAGAGCATCCTCAGCAGCTGCTTCACTGTTATAAAGGCTGCACTGCTTCCTACCATAACAGTCTCCAATGCATCGTGAATACAGCCAGCATTCAGCTCCCCTCTGGCTTCCCTTCAGACATCTACCAGTCCCGTCACACACACAGAGCCATCAACATTGCTTGGGACACCTCGCACTCAACTCTCAGCCTGTTGCCTTCAGGGAAAAGGTACCCGGGCCTCTGGGCTCGCTCCACAAGACTGCTGAACAGCTTCATGCACATGGCTGTCAGGGTGCTGAACTATTCCAACAACACCCTCTGCCCCCTGCTGGGCCGTGACTGATGGAAGAAAATAAATTTAAAAAATTGAAAGTCTTGTATATAATATATATTGTATCTTTATTGTGTAGGTGCTTTAGGTCTCTGTGACATTGCACAGTGAGATGCTGTTCATCCTTGTCAGTTTCTTTTAACATGTCATTGGACTCCAGCAACATTTTTGAAGTTCATTTTGTTCTTTCATAAACTTTCTAATCAATAAATATTGTATCTAAAATTTGTGACGTGATTTGATTTGAATATGGTTAAGTCCGTACATAGATATAAAAATAAGATCAATTAAAAAGAATGGTAAAAATGGCCTTCAGCTACTTTTTAAAAGACTCAACACCCTTGGTGTGTCAGAAATGAGGACTGTTTTGTTCCACCGGCGAGATGCTTGGAAGACTTCGCTTTTCAGGTCTGAAGAACCACGAACAGTTTGTTGGATCTGGGGTAAACTAAAGCCTTAACTATAAACCAAGCACTTGGGTGAAAAATATAAAAGTCAACAGCTTACTCCAAAGTGTTGGGGAAGAATCAGTTTTGTGTGTTTCCTTGATTGATGAAGCCTTCTGGATGGAAGGTGAAACGTTTCAGCACAAAAAAATAAAATGAACTGTCCAGATGACCTGACAGAAAGTTGTTGGATTGTATGCCTGGATTATTGAGCATGGGCTTTGTTAGGTTCCTCGTGTTAGCCTTGTCATCTGAGTCTAAATGGCCAATTTGCTGTTGAGTTAGTGGGGACGATGAGCAGAGCTTATCAATCCATCCATCCATTATTCCAAAGTTACTACTGGAGGCAACAGCTTGAGTAGGGAGACCCACACATCTCTTTCCACAGCCACCTCTTCCAACTCTTGTAGGAGAGGTCCAGGGTCTGAGAGGGGCCTCTTGGTGACCCGTGACCCGCAGCCAGCCCTGGTCCAAACGCAACAGCTGGTGCCGTGACCGGTCTCCTGTCTTTAGAAGAGGTAGCTCCTTTCTTGTTGTTTAATGGTGACACAGCGGCAGGTGACCGAGTCGGAGCAGACTGTTCTAGCCGGCTTTTTTACACGAGGCAGCAGAAAACCTGTTAAATCGAATTTCTGTGTCCTTTAAGGACTTCAGGCTGCTGTTTTTCGGTCCGGTGCACGCAGTTTAGTGAACTAAAAGGCAGTAGAACGTTATAGAATAATACGTGTTTTTTGAGTGTATTTATCGGACGTAACAATTTATGAACGTAACGTTTTTTTTTCCGCCTGGGCGCACCCAGGGCGAGCCGGAAGCGTTAGCAACAACGCTAACCGGAAGTGGTCCGCGAGCGTCATAAACACGCAAAACGTTAATTTTGCTCTAAAATTACGCTTTGTCCAGTTGATTTAAATGCTTGTATATAAATTGTCATTTGTTTATTGAAGAGATACAGAGGATCCGACGTGGCTGACGGTTTAAAGCCCCACGTAAAAATTGTGACATCATTTTTGCTGACGGTAGAATCTTTACGAGAAGCGTGCTCAGTCCGAAAGACGTTCCGGGTGTAATTACCCATCGCCGTTTATTAGAAACACTTTAAAACTTGGACATACAGCATCAAGAGGTGGGTCATGTGACAGTTTGAAGAAAACTCTACGTAGTTTTGGATGCATGTGGGGAGAAATTGCTACCTCCTCGAAACAAAGTGATAACCTCGGGTTTCTGTTTATTGCAGCCTCCTTAGGTCTGTAGCACAGGAAAACAGACTGGTCAGCAGTGCGTCCCCGAGCGACATGTTTATTATTATTTTATATATTTTTTTATTCTTTTCTACTTTCGGTCGGGGCTGTGCTTCTGATACGGCAGAATCCTTAAAATAAACACCTATATTTGGATGATCCCTAGAAAGAATCTAGAAGAGGTACCTAAAGAAGAATATATGGAGTGTTGCTGTGCTTAAAATAGGGATGATTAGAAATCTTTAGAACAGGCAGAGAGGGACAGAGAGATTATTTTCATGGTCAAAAGAGAGTTAAATGGGTTTGCTGGGTTAGGGTTTTGCAGATGAGGATATGGATTTATTAAAGACAGGGACAGAGAGCTTTTTAGAATAGGCAGTGAGGGAAATATGTTTTTATAAGTTGAGGGACAGACAAGAACCTTAGGTAGGCAGGAAAAGGGAAATATAACATTGTAAATGTCATGTATATTTGTTGCATGAATGATGGAGCGTGAGTGAGTTCTTGTCTGTTGTATGAATGAAAGTGTATGTTTGTTAATGTTTAACTGATATGGGATACTTTACAGATGTATAAGAGTGAAAACTGATAACTTTAGCAGCCACTTAATGACAGGAAATGTACACAGACATAAAACCAAAGGCGGAGGAAAACATTGTCACACATCAGGCATAAAATTGGTAAGTGACATTTTAATATTAACATAAATTTATTTAAATAACTTTTGAAGACCAACAGGTTCAGTTCAAACTGGGAGCCCAGACAGAAACAGAAATCTCTGCACTCAAGTTGATGTGAGTAGATGAACACACAAAGACCTCCTCTCTGAAGATAATGTGACAGGTCAAGGATGTATTTCATTTACTACAGTATCATGTGTGTGGATCATAGTGTCGTTGTGTCTGGAGCAGAGACTGACTGGAGCCTGGTCGCTTAGATAAGCAGGACGACTACCAGGGTCGTCTGACCTTGTTTTTGTATTTTATTTTCTTGCAAGATTTTGAATTATTACAGGTGAAAGTAAATTAAATCTATGAGGGAACTCAAACACATCCGTGAAATTAAACCAACCAGGGTAAAAGTATTTGGGGAATGTTGTGATAAATGTATTAATAGAAATATGTCATTATAGCTGTTTCTAATCTACTAAGTTAACTGTCCTTGACAGAAAACACTCTTAGTTATTTAACAAAAGTATTAAACTTAAAAGACAAACGGTAATAAATCTAAGGTGTAGACTGAAAAACTGACAAGAACCGGGTTTAGGGATTCGAACCAGATCACAGACAGCAGGAAGGTTTAAAAGATTTATTAATAAACTGCTTCTGGTGGAGGTCTTAGTCCTTAGACTGGCACAATCTGAAGAGATAGTGAAGAAAATCTTTTTTTATACATTTTTTTTTTTTTTTTTTTGAACTCTTTTTTTATTGAATTTTTTCTTTTAGAACATAAATTTACAGTCAACTTAACAATACAAACATGTTTATACACACTCACATTCACTCACATACTCACCATTGAAACCTGCATTTGTTTAGTTCCAAAAAATAAAAAAAATACAAGACCCCAAAAAGAAAAGACAGAATATAAGTAGAAACTGTACACAAGACATCCATTCAAACTCTCATTATTAAGTTCCAACTTCCGTCCCTATGATCCTCATATATGGCTCCCACAGGTTCTCAAATTCCTGCTGTTTACCCTTGGCGATGTATGTTAGTTTTTCCAGTCCGAGCGAATTTGCAATTTCTTTCTTCCAGAGTCCCATGGAGGGCG